GCGCGGAACCCTGAATGGCTCCTCGCAGGAGCGGGACCCGCGTGCCCGCGGACGTGGATGGAGGACACGCACCAATACAAAAGGGAGGTGTGGGCCTCCTGCCACCCCGGCCATCCAAGATGTCGAAAGGGATTCTGGCCGAGTCCCGGTCACGCTGGCGTGCCCTGCGCAGCCCCCTGGGAAACAGGCCTGGAATTCCTTTTAGGAGCAGAGTGGGGGAAGGCGAGCCAGCAGGAATCCCCGAGTTACTGCCCCAGGCCAGCCATTGGCCACCAGGAAAAGACTCTGGGCACAGAATGGAGATTTCGTTCTGACCTTACCAAGGAAAGTGACACCCCCAAGGGCAGCAGTGTGCTTCCTTCACGAAGGGCCACATTTATTTATGAAGCCGGTCTGCATTAAGGTCGCTTTTCCAGGCTTAGAGGCCAGAGTCCATGGCTTCGTGGGGGGAAGGTTGGGCTGGTGAGGGCACAAAGATGACTGCCCTAGCGGAGCGCAGAGCCTCACACGTGTTTTCTCTCCCCTCCCAACAGGTAAGGCTGGCCTCTCTTCGATCAGAGGTCTGAGCTGTGCTATGGGGCTAGGGATGTCTTTATTGCTGCAGTTTTCTCTGACATCCGGGGCCTATTGGAGTGTGGGTCGAAGCAGGCGCTGCAGCTGCACAAGTATCCCCAGGAACATCCCCAAGAGGAGCTGGAGAAAGCCTCACCCCCAGCTCTGCAGTCTCCTGGGTAGAGTCTGGCTTTGTGTTCCCAAACCACCTACAGCCCAGCGCACCCCTATACTTGGTTGGCATCCTGGCACAGGGAAAGGGCATGGGGGGAGGATCCCCTTCCACATCTTGGGAATCTTCCCTGCACTCAGTCCCTGGGGATGAGTCATGTCAGTATTCCCCCAGGAGAACAGACTGTAGGGAATGCAGTGAAGCTGTGCTGGAGCTGGTGAGTGGGCACAGTCAGTCCTTCAGGAGTCTGAACTGCTACCCTGGCCCTTATTCTATGGAGAACACTCCCCTGGGCTGTGGAGGAACTGAATGTGGGGCAGCCTCTGGCCAGGTTAGGGCAGGATCAGGCAAGGGACGAGATTCCAATTCTTCTTCCCTTCTTCCCCTTTGCCCCAGAAATCCATGGCACCCCGAAAAGAGACAGCGCCAAGCATTGAGGCCCCCAGGGTAGCAGGCAGTGGGTGTTCCTTGGATTCAAGACAGCTTCCTTCTGCCATGGCCTAATTGTGGGTGGGGGTGGAGGAGGGCACACGGGCAGAATGTAGGCAGTCTGGACAGGTGGTGGCCTGGCTTTAGGCAGTGCTGGGAGGGGTGCAGAGCTCTACCCTATGCCCCAGAGAGAGGCTGTTCTCATTTGCACTCAGGGCTGGGACCCTGAGACTGAGACTGGAAGCCCCTTCCCTGTGGGATGGTAGGAATGAAAGGTGATGGGAATTTCTTTTTGCCAGATCTGTGCAAACCCAGGTGTTTAGACGAAAGAACACTGGCCTAGGGGCTTAGAAGACCTGTGCCCAGTCTTGGTTCTGCTTTTGGTTTACTGTGTCACCTCAGGCAAGTCTTGTCGCCTTTGATGCCTCCTACTCACTTCATCTGTCAAGCAGGGAACTCAGTTTCTGCTCTGCCAGCTTCACCAAGCTGCTGTGTGCTGAGATGTGGCAATAGGCACATGTAGACACACACACACAGGGAAATGGGAGGTCTCGCAAAAGCCTCAGATGCTGTAGGGAGATGTGAGCATGTTTTCTGGTGAGTTCCATGGTCAGGATGTTAGCGCAGCCAACATGGGTAGCTGCTGTGAAGAGGATTCCAAGTGTTGAAGTCTCCTCTCTGCATTTCCAGGGCAATGCAGATATAAGACACATTTTGAAATGTTATCTAGAGATTGAAATAATATGTAACACACAAGGAAGTCAGATCTCTAGATTGGTGGCAAGGGTTCTGGGAGTTTGAGGAGGGTGAGCTGCTCTCAGGGCCCTGGAACAAGGAGAGTTGGGCAGATGTGTTGGTCCTTGGAGTGACTTTCTTTTTCCACCCCCAGCAGAAGAAGCACCCATGCTGGAACAGCGCTACAGGGGCCCCATGGCCATGGGCCCAGCCCCACCTCGACTTCTTTCTGGGCCATCCCAGGAGTTATCTCAGACCCTGGAGAAGGAGTCCAGCAGGCTGAGGCACCGAGGCACTCCAGTGGCCCAGCCAGGTGGCCAAGTCCCCAGCAAGGCCCATCGCTGTGCCCACTGTCGAAGGCACTTCCCCAGCTGGGTGGCCTTGTGGCTTCACACCCGGCAGTGCCAGGCCCGGCTGCCTCTACCTTGCTCTGAGTGTGGCCGACGCTTCCGCCATGCCCCCTTCTTAGCATTACACCTCCAGGTCCATGCTGATGCCACCTCAGACCTGGGCTTCAACTGCCATCTCTGTGGGCAGAGCTTCCAAGGCTGGGTGGCCCTGGTTCTGCACCTGCGCGTGCACTCAGGTGCAAAGAAGCCCATTGCTTGCCCCGAGTGTGAGAGATGCTTCTGTCGACAGAAGCAGCTCCAAGCTCATCTGCAGAAGCACCACCCTCCTGCCCCTGAGGTCCGGCCCTTCATCTGTGGCAACTGTGGCCGGAGCTTTGCCCAGTGGGACCAGCTGGTTGCTCACAAGCGCGTGCATGTGGCTGAGGCACTGGAGGAGGCAGCAGCCAAAGCCCTGGGTCCGCGGCCTCGAGGCCGCCCAGCGGTGACAGCGCCCCGCCCGGGGGGAGACGCGGTGGACAGGCCCTTCCAATGTGCCTGCTGTGGCAAGCGCTTCCGCCATAAGCCCAACCTGATCGCCCACCGCCGTGTGCATACAGGGGAGCGGCCGCACCAGTGCCCCGAGTGTGGGAAGCGCTTCACCAACAAGCCCTACTTGACCTCGCACCGGCGCATCCACACCGGGGAGAAGCCCTACCCGTGCACTGAGTGCGGCCGCCGCTTCCGGCATAAACCCAACCTGCTGTCGCACAGCAAGATCCACAAGCGGTCAGAGGGTTGCGCGCAGGCTTCCCTGGGCACCAGGAGCCCCCAGGTTCCAGCCTTGGCCCCTGAGCCCTCAGAGCCGTATCCTGAGAAGCTGACCCCAGAAGCTGCCGAGCCTATGCCCGAGGTACCCCTAGAACCCCCGCGGGACCAGGCAGAGGTGCCTCCGTCCCTGTACAGCTGCGATGATTGCGGGCGCAGCTTCCGCCTTGAGCGCTTCCTGCGCGCACACCAGCGGCAGCACAGCGGGGAGAGGCCCTTCACCTGCACAGAATGTGGGAAGAACTTTGGCAAGAAGACGCACCTGGTGGCACACTCGCGTGTGCACTCGGGCGAGCGGCCCTTTGCCTGCGAGGAGTGTGGCCGCCGGTTCTCCCAGGGCAGCCACCTGGCGGCCCACCGTCGCGACCACGCCCCTGAGCGGCCCTTTGTCTGCCCCGACTGTGGCAAGGCCTTCCGCCATAAGCCCTACCTGGCCGCCCACCGGCGCATCCACACCGGAGAGAAACCCTATGTCTGTCCCGACTGTGGCAAAGCGTTCAGCCAGAAGTCCAACCTGGTGTCCCACCGGCGCATCCATACCGGTGAGCGGCCTTATGCCTGCCCCGACTGTGACCGCAGTTTCAGCCAGAAGTCCAACCTCATCACTCACCGCAAGAGCCACATCCGGGATGGCGCCTTCTGCTGTGCCATCTGCGGTCAGACCTTTGACGAGGAGGAGCGCCTCCTGGCCCACCAGAAGAAGCACGATGTCTGAGAGAGGCCCTGGGTGACCTTCAAGACAGGAGCTTGGCACTGGCCAGGGGCACCTGCCTTGGCGCTGGTGGAGGGGACAGTGGGAATCTCAGAAGGAATAGAAGAGGTGTAGTGAGCTAAACCCTGGTAGCCCATGGTCAGGGAATCCTCAACAGAGCCAAAGGACCCAGCCTCAGGCTGGCATTCCTAAAGTTCTATCCTGACTGCCCTGTGCTCTCAAAACGTAGCAATAGTAGCTCCATCTACCGTTAGAGCCCTGGCTAGAGGAGCCACCAGTGGGAAGGAAGCTGCTCCATCCTCTGGTGTTAACGCCTTAATGTCCCTGTCTTTACTATGAGTTACTTCAGGTCACTTTTGGAAGTAGGTGTGGAACAGTCTTTAGTTAATGAGCACTTCACGGGGAGGGAAAGACCAGCTGGATACACCTTGAGAACCTGCTGGCCTCTTTAGGCGGCACAGGACTTTTTTTTTTTTTCAGCACTCGGATAAGGTTGAGGTGCTCTTACTTGTCCCCCTCCCTGCTACCCCTGCATAGAATCCCAGACCTGGAGGGGCACATCTACTGTTAGCAAGTCCACCCTCTGCCTCCCCCAGATGACAGCCCCAGGGCATTTCCCTTTCCTGGCTGTTTTGCCTGATCTGAAGATCCTCTTCATCCAGAACTTACTGTGTCACAGGAAAGATTGGCTTCTTAATGCAGCCAAAGGGAAGGTCCTCATGCATTTCCTTTTCACCTATTCCAGCTTGTTCATGCCAGCCTCTGCCTGAGCACCGAGGTCACCTAGAGCTCCCACCTCCGAGGCCCTGGTTCTATTGTAGGATGATTCTAATTGTTAGAAATTACTCCTTATGATGATTGAAATCTGCTTCCTATCATTTCTACCTTTTGGGCCTTGTTCTGTCTTCTGGATCTACAAAAAAACAACTGTTTACCTTCCTTTTCAAATTAGAGAATAAAGATTTGGTTTTAGAACCAGTTGGTTGGGGAATGTTCCTTTTCCTGGAGGGCTGATTGTCTGGGTGGTACAGACTTTGGTTAGTGCTTTAGCCCCTGCCAGAGGGTTGACAGCATGAACAAGGATTAAGTGGAGAGGCAATTCTAAGCAGCAGAGGTGGTAGTCCTCTTATATGCCCCACCCAGGTGGTGTGGACCCCACAGTCAGGAGTCAGTTACCAGGAGGAAAGAGCTGCCGTGACTCCCACAGGACCTCCTTGGCTGCTTGCTGTTCAGACACTTTGTACATCTCCCTGTACCTGGGGTTTCACGCAGATTTGGGTGGCTGTTCCTGTCAGGCATCAGAGGCTTTTGCTTTTGTGTTTTTGTTGGTGCCTGTGTCAGTAATCTCTGCACTGATCCCTGGCACCCAGCACAGGCTGGTGCTACAGAATAACCACCATTTGTTTATGTGGGTGGCACCTGGCAGAGAAGTTCCCCCATGTTGCCTCATGATCCTGTGCGGTAGGTGCTCTTGCTACCCTTTTATGCCTGACAGTATTGCTTGTGGTCATGTAATTGATAATCAAAATAAGTGAGTTCAAAACCAAGTCCGTCTCCTCAACCCTTCACTTCAACCACATGCTTTTTGAGTAAATGTATGTGCTGTTCCTTTTGGTTGAGACAAATTTTAAATACCTAGTGTATGATCCATGTTGTAATGGAAATTGAGGAGTTTCAAAAATAAGTTCCAATATCTACTCTGGGGCCTGTGTCTGGAGAGGGTAAAGATAGGTAGGTACATAAATGTCACGAGGGTAGGGCTTAGTGTGTAGGTTGGAAGCCAAAAGATTGAAAGCTTTGTATTGGTTTATGATGTTACAGAGCCATTTAAAAAACTGTAAGATAATTCGCCCCAGGAAGAGGGCCTATTCTCAAGCCTCGCTCACATTTGTTCTTTTTGGCTTCCAGTGAAGGGGAAACAACCAGGAAAGAGTAGGTGGACAGATGTCTGCAGGTGATGGGTGGGAAGAGGACAGGTCCCTGGGTATCTGGTTAGCGCTGGGGGGTTGGGACAAAGATACAGGGAGAAGGAATCAGACCGGAGGTTCTGGTCTTAAAAATGATTATTTTAAAGGGGAATGGTAGCCGGGGTATGGGGACAATAGCACTGCCTGTCCCAAGTGCTTGTTCAGTGTTGTTCATGGAAAGGAGGTCGGTTCTGTGATCAGGTGTTGACCTTCTCTTCTGAAGAATTAATGGTTTTTCTTTTTCTAGTTACAAGAGTGTAAAATTATCCTTTAAAACTTGAAATGATGCAGACCCACTTAATTTATATTTTAATGTGAAGTTTTGGGTTCCCTCAGCCCACCCTCCAAGTCCTTTCTCCTTAACAATGTAAGGAGAGTTTGAGTGTTCTAGATGTGTTTTCATGTGATTTGCACACATAAACGTGTGGTCACCCCAGTTTTGGTGATAGGAATAGGACCCTAGATTTTTCATTTTCTGTACTCCTGAAATGCTTTTGGTTGTGGAACGTCAATCTGGAGGAAGTCTTCACTCTAGAGGAGGAAACAAGCCTGGTGGAAGTGGCCTCCCAGGGTCATGTCTTTGTTGGTGGCAGACCGGGAACTACCACACTGGTTTCTGAGCAGGGGTGAATCCCACACATCTTTGGGGCACACTCTCCAGATACCCTAGAAAGTAATCATGGATGAGATCCCAAGAGTTGACGCTAGCGATGTGTGGGCTCTCTGTAGGGCTTTATGTAGCCCTTTACAAGTGCTTCTGTAGGGTTAAAACCAAATGTAAGAAAATTCAGTAAGGTATGAAGACACATAGAAAACTATTAACTTATACAAATGAATACGCTAAAGTTCGGAGAAAGCAAAATACGTGAAAACTACATAAAATTGGCGAAATGGACAATCTGTCCGTTTCCATTTGGCTTCGGAGGCGCAAGAGCAGCCAGACATGTGGCCCTCCTCCCACCTGCTACCTGGTTGGCAACAAATCCACCACTTCCCGGGGTGGGGTGGGGGGCACAGAGGACGTCAAAGAGGCCCGGCTTCTGTTTGCTGGAGAAGCCTGTCAGCGGCAGGCAACCCACTGTGTCCCCTTTGAGGCCGAAGTGAGAGGACCTTCCCCTATGGCCGTATAGGTGAGAAAATACTCTCTTTCCTGGAGATGTTTGGGAGCTCAGTACTCGCGTTGGCTGAAAGTCAGGTCTGGACTGGCAGCCGCGAAAGGGTTCTACTCATCTGAGCCCTGGTGAGCTGTGAAATTTGATCGACCCCGCTTCCGCAGCTAAGAGACGAGGTGGAACGTCGTCTCTACGGCCCGGAGCGCAGGGCACTAAACACCTTGTTTGGTGATGCGAAGCGAGGCAGAAGGCTAGCTCTCCGTACGCACACACGCGGAATGCGTGCACCTAGCCGCTGCACACCGCCTGGACCGTCGTGCGCTCTGGAGAAGCCTCAGAGCCGGTGGCTTCTCAGCACCTTAACGATTGCATGGGTTCGTGCACCCCACCTTCAGTTCTTAACACGCGCGTGTGCGGGAAACGGGCGTACAAGGTCAGACTGGTACCTGCAGCCACACAGAAGCCCGCCTTGTCCCAGCAGCTGCAGCGCAGGCGCTCCGGCTGCTGGTGGTGCACCCGTCGGCCAGGTTCAGCCCCCCACTCCCGGCTATTGGCTCGGGAGAACAAAGGGGGGGTTCGTGCACCCCACCTTCAGTTCTTAACACGCGCGTGTGCGGGAAACGGGCGTACAAGGTCAGACTGGTACCTGCAGCCACACAGAAGCCCGCCTTGTCCCAGCAGCTGCAGCGCAGGCGCTCCGGCTGCTGGTGGTGCACCCGTCGGCCAGGTTCAGCCCCCCACTCCCGGCTATTGGCTCGGGAGAACAAAGGGGGGGCCCCGCGGGCTGCTCCGATAGGACCAGGCGGGTCATCTGAGCCGCACAACCAATTGACTGGCCGGGCTGTACCTGCCCCGGGACTGGCCAGGGCCGGGAGCCGGGTGCCCTAGTCGCCCCCGGGGAGGCCGTTCCAGTTAACCTTAGCTACAAAGTCAAAGGTATTTATTTCCCCGGCCCTCTCCCTCCAATCCCTCTGCTTTTCGGGCGGGAGTGGCCGGGCATGAGATGACCCGACTCTGGCCCCGTTCATATCCGTGCGGCTTCACCCGGCTGTGGGTGTGGAGACTTCCGCGCGCCCCTCGAGCCCCAATGTTGGCTGCCCTGTTGTCCTGAGTTCTCTCTTGTGTATGCCTCCTGGATAAACCGGTTTCTGGGGTTAGGAGCCCTAGGACTTGCTCCAGAGGGATTCGTAGGTGCTCAATAAATGGGCGATTGCAGGAGCTGGGATACAGATTCGGGTGGTGAATGAACGGTGAGCAGGAAGAAATGCAGAAGTTGTTAACTGTGTGTTTTGGGGTCGGGGTTCCCCAAACCTTCATTCCAGTAAAAGGAACAAGCAACCGCGTCTGGCGGGGTGAGCCAGGAAGGGGCTCCTTCCTCTGTAAT